ATACTGTATTTACCGAGAACTATAAAAGGATGAGGAAAATACAGTATCGGGGCGATTTCTTTGGATTAAATAAAAGACACATCAACTACATATCATCTCTTCCATCAGAAATCGTCACAATCAGGAACACACCAGACGTGCAGGGCAAATTGTGCTAATAGTCTTCAAGCCGCAACAACATGGTTAACCACAAACGGATTCAAAGGTTTTCTTGGTGAATTCGCTTGGTCAAATGATTCAAGTTGCACAAATGAAGGTCCAGCATTTCTAGATCATCTTTCAAATCATTCAAACGTTCGGATGGGTTGGACTTGGTGCTGCGGTGGCCCATGGTATCCATCGAATTATATGTTTATGCTTGATCTCATTAATTTTACTGCACCAATAATTGATCGTCATCAAATGGCATTGTTATTACAACATTTATGAACACATTTCATTTATTCTAGAAAGAACTTCTCCTTTTAGATTATCAACTAAGTAAAAATGACTTTTTTTATAATAAAGGAACGAAAAAAGTGTATCTTTGCTAATAATCATGTATAAATGGTCTTACAGCAAAAGGGTGTGAGTAGATGGGTAGAGTTCTTCCTCTTTCCATCACCCACACCCTCAACAAGCAATTTACTCCAAGTCGTTCATCATCGACTTGCTAGTCTCTATCAGTTTCCTTCTTGGTCTGCGCATGTCGACTAATCATTCACATAACGGCAGCATTGGTCTTCTGATTGAGAATCTGAATTCCTTTATCAACAACTGCTTTCTAGTTCCAAACCTCATTATAATTAGGAGATGGATTTGTAATCTGATAAATACCATAACCGTTATTTTCTTGCGCCGCTATATTCATTGCGTACCATAGAGAACTGTGAGCTCCAATGTAATTCATTATATCATTGCTAGTAAGCCGTTTTCCAATAATATTGAAATTAATTTGACTAGTAACTTTAGTGACAAGAATAGTCCATTTTACTGTAACAATCAGAAAAAAACAATGCACCTGGCTATTTCCATGGTACTTGTGACACGAAATACACAACATTTACCAAATCGTTTGAAACTTTCAGGGCTTGTCTAATAGTCACTTCTAAGACTATTTTGCTCTTGGATGAAAGTTTGTACGGCGTCTTGTTCAAGAACTGTAGCCCAAATACCAAGTACTCTCCGGAACGGTTTTTCAAAGTATCTTATTCTGTGTAACACACGTAGTTTTGCACTACTTTGTGCTACGAAAATTCTGATAAAAAATTTGGATTCCTCGTCATCAGGGCTATCAGAATCATTGCTTTTGAAAAGTTTTTAAGTTCATCTCAGACCGGGAAGTCTCTGGAAACCCTTTTAAACATCCTTGTATTCCAGGCTCAAATAGTCTATAACTAGAGAACTCTAGATTTCGTGGAACGTCTCATTTGATAGAGCATCAAAAGATCTATCGAACCATATGTGCACCGTCGGGCGGGAGTAAGATTCTACCGAGATAGGGTCTCCAGAAAACCAACATGGGTTTTCGAAAAATCCTAACTTTTTTGTCAAATTGAACCAAAAATATGTGAAAAAATTTTGTTTTATAGACTGCCGTAGTAGTGTGTAGAAGATCTCTTTGATCTATTGAGATTCGCCAAAGATCTCTGAACAACTATCTTAAATATAGGTTTACTGAATCCGCGTGAGAATTTGAGTAGAATGGGAAATAGTAACAGGAGATTACTTGATCATGGCCTTATAAATGTGCATTTTCGTCTAACTGGTCTCCTTCTGTTCTGTGTCTTGTTTGGCTTATTTTTTAATGTATCTCCTCTATTATCGAGTAAATTTCTACACGAACTGATACTTTGTTCTTTTTTCATTTCTTTTCGTGAATATGATATTCACTCATCAATAATACCGTGTTATTTTGACTCAGTGTGAGAGAACACATACAATGAAAAACACGTAAAGATTGTTGAGTTCGAGATGCCTCGAAGCAATAAGAAATGGTGTGGTCATCCAATGTCTCACGAAGGTACAAAAAAGTCGGGTCCAGGCGCTCTTCGTCCACATGGAGATCGGCCTATCCATCATGATCTAGCGGCATTCATCACACACGAGTATTATCAAGTGAATGCGAATGTTGGATTCTCCCTGTCTAAAGGTGATCTTCTATGTCGAACTTGTTATAAGGCAGAGTCAACTCGATTTCATAGTAGTTTGTTCGAGGAAGGAAATTCAATAGCAGTTGATTCACCAATATCTGCAGGTAGCCGACATATGGCAGAGACCGTCGAAACGAAATACAAACTTGAACAGCACAAAGAACTGCTGAATCAGGTATTCCAAGTATTAGGAATTGAGAAGATTAGAAATGTGTAAGTACATCGTCGTATGTTCCATTGCTTGACTTGGTTTTCATTAAGGCGACTGACAAATCAAGTAGACAAACAAGTAACGATTGCTATCGAACTCATTCGGTCCGCGGCAGAAGCCTTGCAACGCTCGGAAAACATCACCCAGCCCTCAAGTCACTCATTGTTTAAGCTCGCTGATAAGGAATATCTTCTCGACAGTGTCAAATTTTTAATAAATTCCAGTGACCGACACGAGCAAATTCGTCTTCTTACTCTGGCTACACCTGAATGGGGAAGAACGAAAGTTGAAGAATACTTCGAATGCTCTTGCTATCTGGCTCAAAAGAGCATCTCTCTTCGCGACTCATACGGCAAGTTGGCCGTACCTGTTGACTGGCGCGGCAACACCTGTCTTGATCCGCACATTGTCCAAAAAATTATCGATTTCTACAGTGATGATGTCATTAGCCATCAGTCTCCTAATAAACGTAATGTAATTCACGTTCAAAAGAATCCCGTCGCTGTTCGACACATGTCAATGACTATAGGCCAAGCCTATCAACTCTTTGTGCAACAGTTGCAAGCCAATCAGTCACTCAGTTCCGTACAAAAATCGAGCTTTTACAACCTACGTCCAAAATGGATTAAGGTTAAGAAGCCACACGATGTTTGTACTTGCATTTATCATGAGAACTTCGAACTACTCATACAGGTAGAATTCCACATAAAGGAACCCAAGATCTATTTTGTTTGATAGGCTTGGAACAACCTGTATATCAACATCATGAATATGAAAAGTCTCATTGCGGAATGTGTCTGTTCTTCACAAATGGAAACATGCTGTTTTCGAGAATACGATGACTGCAAGTGGTTGCGGCCTGGTAGCTTTCTTTCAATGAGCTTCTCGATTGCCAGAATATGACAGTTGACGATAATGTTATTTGGATGACTTGGAAATCAGGGAGTGTCTCATTCTGTGCGTTGTTTACCTATAATATAAACTTGATTCTCTCCAGCTTATGTCGACGAACCGACCACAGTTGCAAAGGTCTCAAATGCAACGTGTCGGTGGCTCGATTCATGATCTGCTGGAGGAGTTCGATGTCAAGTGAGCAAAGTTTGCTGTCCACCACTACTGCACTCGTCAACAGCAAAAGTACGTTAAAAAAATTAAAGCAGAAGCTCGTGCAGATGAAACACTGGTAATCCAAATGGACTTTGCCGAAAATCATTCATTGATTGTTCATCACGAGATCCAGCAAGCTCATTGGACAACCCCACAAGCTACCATTTTTACGGTACACATCACTGTACACAAGACCACTCAGCATAGTCTCGTTTTGTTAGTGATCACCTTGATCATAATATTGATTTTGTTCATGCTGCTCAAAGTGTGATTGTTCAATTCATTCGTCATCGCTATTCCACCGTGAAACGAGTTAACTATATCACCGATGGAGCTCCCCAACACTTCAAGAGCAACAAATCGATGCTGAATTTAACTTATCACGAGAGTGACTTCGGAATTCCTGCCGCATGGACATTCTCCGCTACAGCACATGGGAAAGGTCTAATTGATGGGATCAGGACAGCTCTGAAATACCGTGCAACTCGTCGAGTACTCACGAGGGAAGTATCCGAAGTGTCCACTCGCTTTACGGCTCATATTTTGACCATAAGTAGACCCTAATGGGACTAGTAGAAAGTCAAAAGTTATGAACATCCCACCGTTGATATGAAATATGTGATCAAAAGTCTAAAAACTTTTTCTGGAAATCTTTTGATTTGAATAATAACTTTTTTCGAGAATAGCATCATGTAGCCCAGTGTATATCTGCGCTCCCTTTCGTTTCTGTTGTTTGGTGACCACAAAAAAGAATGTGATGAGTAATACGGAGATTCACTAGACTATGTCTATTGCTTCATTCACTCGCAAAAGTAAAATGATAAACGCCATGTCGGTGACGACCACGTTGCAACAAGTTCATCCCAGGTGATTCTCACTCGGACAGAACCAGCCGGTTTCTTTAAATTCCTTGGCTCTAGATTCCGACCGGATTTTTACTGGTTTTTATCGGAAAAATCCTATAGGTTCCAGACGAAAACGACGATAGTTCTGAACCAACTGGATCCGGCTATAAAAGTATTACTACCCATGTCAGAATGTATACATCAGTTCCGATCGGTATCATATAAATCCGATCAGAATCCCTGGAAGATTTACCGAATTCTCAAACGACGAATTCCGACGTTGGGATAGATCAGGATCCGTCAATAACAGCATATTTTCGCTAATATCACAGGATCCTGACTGAATCGAAGTCGGAATCTCTTACGCATGATTGTTCGATCTGGGTAAAACAGTTTCCCCCTCTTATAATTCGGATTATATACCCAGATCGAACAATCCGGCCCGGAGTCGACCAGATCCTACGTCTTTCAGTCTCTTCGCGGAGAAAGTGTCGCAGTGCAAGAATCTGCTGAACAGATTAGGCAGCTTTCCACTGGAACCGACAAGAAACTGGCATATCTGATAGACCAGAATGTCGGTCCGCTCTTTCAACTACATGTCTAGCATTTTCTGACTACTCTCTGCAGGTGCTGCGTCGGAAATGGACGGAAGATTACCTCCAAAATCATCATCCTAGAATCCAACTCTTTGGATAATTTGAGCATTTTTTTTCGCTGTCTTTTTAGTCCAGATCTACGAGAAATTACAAGAGTCGTTCCCAAAGGAACCTATGAAATTCACAGTAACAACAGGCTGGCGTGAGAAAATATGAAAGTATAAGCAACTTCATACACAACATTACTTTCTTTCAATGGCAATAATGAGTTAAAAATCTCAACAAGTACCCGAATAAAAGGTGAAACGGAAAACGGCAAAAGCGCGTTTTTCCTATACTGTTTATTCACTTTTTTTGCGTGATATATCATTAGAAAGAGCATAACAAACTGCACCACATGGGCTATTCAAACGAGTGCTTCTTGTTGAAAAGGTGCATTGACTAAGATCCATATATCCTAATTACATGTACTTTCTCGTATTGTCTCGCTTGTGAGTTGAAAGGATAAGGAACAACAGCTTTGGCAAATCTAGATTTGTGAAGCATTGGATTTTCTACAAAACTGACATACTTTAAATCAAAAGTTAATCAGATTTAACCGACATACACATATCTGTTTCGCTATCATTACCTGATAAAGAAAAGCTCTTTATAGTCTTGACAATAATCCAGATTTGTACATCATCAGATAAAGTTACATAGAATGAAAGCTCTCATAGCATTCACTCTACATTGTTGGGTTTATCGACCGAAACACAAACAGAGCGTGAAAATTTTCTACTTGCTCAATAGTTTTCGTAGTCACTGACTTTCGTAATTCAACCAAGAGTCGAGATTTCTGTTGATGCCTATCCATAGCTAGCGCAAGAAACAAAGAATCGGATTAGAGACGTACCCAACCAATACATTCGATCCATAGAACACCCAAAAGTATTTGTTGGCGTCCAATGTGAGATTCAGGCCAAGCTAAGATCCGCCTAGGCGAAAGTGGAATTCCACATTGGAGAACGACCGTCAGATGAGCCCGGACTAATTGAGTCCCGACAGTTGAGCCTCGACNGTAGGTATATCACATTTCTTAGATCAAGTTCTCCGTCCAATATTCAACCAAGCAACTAGACAAACAACTTTTATCAATGATATTCATTTTATTCGACGATTAGGGCTCTATCAAAATATTGGACTTCTAACATCAACAACTAATTTTATTACCTTTGATGTTACTGATCTCTATACAATGATACCAAGAAATGGAGCACTTGTAGCTCTAGAACAATTCTTAGAAAAACATGCCATAAATGGACGAATCAATGGCATGACAATTGGTACACTTATTAAGTTAGCTGTTACAGTTTTAGAAACTAATTCGTTTGTTTTCGAAGGCAAATATTATAAACAAATTCGTGGTGGAGCAATGGGATCACCATTCACGATGACTTTGGCGAATATATATATGTTAAAATGGGAACAACTACTAGTTGAACATCAAAAAGCCCATAACGAATTATATGGACGGTAAGAAGGGTAATTTTCAATCCTTTATTTATTATTTGTTTATGCCATAGATATATTGATGATGTTTTCATGACTAGCAATCTTTCCCTGGATAAAATCAATTTTATGCTTGATGTAGTAAACAACCAAGATGAGAATATTCGTATTACTCGATCAATTGGACTGAATGCTCAATTTCTCGATGTTTCGGTATATAACAATCAAGGACAGTTAAAGACTACTGTCTTTCATAAACCATCAGCAGCACCTTACATTCTACCATTTTTATCTGATCATCCACGTCATATTCATCGTGGTATAATCAAAGCTGCTCTCCTTCGAGCGGTACGTCTTTGCTCACATGTGCAAGATTTTAATGAAGAACGATTACGTATTGAAGTCACACTATTATTGAATGACTATCCTCCAAAGTTTATTTCTTATCACTTCAAAAAGTTTTTTCAGCAAAACAATGTCACTTTATTATTAGAACAATTAGATGATGAAATTTATCAAGGACTCCATCGAAAGCAAATTAGTTTACCAACACGGCATGAGAGAGGACGACAACAAGGCCAACCAACAAATCCATATCGAACCAAACAATCATCAAATCAAACTGAACAGAGGCGAGAACAATGGAATAGTAAAGAAATTCGTGTTCATTATATTTATTCCGGTGGTCCAATGTCAGAATTCAAACAAAGATTGAAACAGTTGTGGAAAAATCATTATGTATATCCTGGTTCGCCATTAAACNGAATTTTTTGCTGCCATCAAAGATCTATTTTATCAATCGTATACAAAACCATTATCTCCTGAATTGTTCGCTCGTGCTCGATATGAACAAAAAATGATAGAAACCATTAAGCATATTCGAAATAAACATAACATTATTATACAAAGATCAGATAAGAGCAAAGTATTTCATTTAGCTAGTGCTATTAGTTATCATGATAAATCAGTTGCATATATGGCAAAAACACAAGCTTATCAAGAGATTGAAAATGGTATTAATCCATGTAAAGATTACTTTGACCGTATTTTAGCATTGCTAAAGCCGTTATTGAAGAATAAAGCTATTAATCTTAATATATGGAAGCAATCAATGCATCCAACTATTGAAACAATTGAATTGCCTCATCTTTATTTCATACCAAAGCCACACAAAGTACCTTAAATGAGAACAAGATTTTAAGCTAAACATTATATTTTTAGATAGGCACACCATTAAGACCAATTATATCAATGATACGATCACCAGCTAAAGGTATATCACATTTTCTAGATCTAGTTCTCCGTCCAATATTTCAACAAGCAACTAGACAAACAAGTTTTATCAACGATATTCATTTTATTCGGCGATTAGAACTCTATCGAAATCTTGGACTCCTCACACCAAAAACAAATTTTATTACCTTTGATGTTACTGATCTGTATACAATGATACCGAGAAATAGGGCACTTGTAGCTCTAGAACAATTCTTAAAAAGACATGCAATAAATGGCCGAATCAATGGCATGACGATTGATACGCTTATCAAGTTATCTGTTACAGTTTTAGAAACTAATTCGTTTGTTTTCGAAGGCAAATATTATAAACAAATTCGTGGTGGAGCAATGGGATCACCATTCACGATGACTTTGGCGAATATATGTATGTTAAAATGGGAAAAAATACTAGTTGAATATTAAAAAGCCCATAACGAATTATATGGACGGTAAGAAGGGTAATTTTCAAGCCTTTATTTATTATTTGTTTATGTCATAGGTATATTGATGATGTTTTCATGACTAGCAATCTTTCTTTGGATAAAATCAATTTTATGCTTGATGTAGTAAACAACCAAGATGAGAATATTCGTATTACTCGATCAATTGGATTGAATGCTCAATTTCTCGATGTTTCGGTATATAACAATCAAGGACAATTAAAGACTACTGTCTTTCATAAACCATCAGCAGCACCTTACATTCTACCATTTTTATTTGATCATCCACGTCATATTCATCGTAGTATAATCAAAGCTGCTCTCCTTCGAGCGGTACGTCTTTGCTCACATGTGCAAGATTTTAATCAAGAACGATTACGTATTGAAATCACACTATTATTGAATGACTATCCTCCAAAGTTTATTGCCTATCACTTCAAAACGTTTTTTCAGCAAAACAATGTCGCTTTATTATTAGAGCAATTAGATGATGCGATTTATCAAGGATTCCATCAAAAGCAAATTAGTTTACCAACACAGCATGAGAGAGAACGACAACAAGGCCAACCAACAAATTCAGATCGAACCAAACAATCACCAAATCAAACTGAACAGAGGCGAGAACAATGGAATAGTAAAGAAATTCGTGTTCATTATATTTATTCCAGTGGTCCAATGTCAGAATTCAAACAAAGATTGAAACAGTTATGGAAAAATCACTATGTGCATCCTGGTTCGCCATTGAACAATGTAGCATTAAAAATTGGTACAAGATCTAATAAATCTCTGCAGCATATATTANATCGAACCAAACAATCACCAAATCAAACTGAACAGAGGCGAGAACAATGGAATAGTAAAGAAATTCGTGTTCATTATATTTATTCCAGTGGTCCAATGTCAGAATTCAAACAAAGATTGAAACAGTTATGGAAAAATCACTATGTGCATCCTGGTTCGCCATTGAACAATGTAGCATTAAAAATTGGTACAAGATCTAATAAATCTCTGCAGCATATATTAGTGAAGAACAAACCACTGAAATCTATGCTAATCGATATTAATACTACAAATACATAATTCAAGAAATACGGTTCGACTAATATTTCTACCAGTTCTTTATGTTGAAAATTGCTCATTTTTACGATATAGCTATGCAATATAATTCTTCCATTACAAAGTTTCAATTGCTTCGACTTCTCGGCACACAGTATCATACATATTCTTTAATTTTATGCATGTCTTTTACCTACATATTTAATATCCATAATAATATCCCTGAAGTTCCTCGGATAAAAATTCTAGTATGAAAACCACACATTTTTACTGTCTTATTCTTCATATTTCAGATATACTGCATTATCTCATTTGAACACTACTTTGGTCACGATATCAATATATGGACGACATTCGGAAATTTTGAATAGCAACTTTACAAACCATCATCTGAACTAAACTTAATAATTGTCAATTTTCTTCGAACTCAATCTCGAGTTATGTCTACATTTTATCTTTTCCAAACAGAAGTTCATACCCATCAAAAACATCCTTGCATTGCTCAACAGCGATAGGTATCCTCGTCATAATAACTTTCTTCATAACATCATATTACTGACCAAAACTTTCCTCTAAGTCTATACTCACAACTTAACGTGTTTCGCTTGAAAATTCATCTGATTAATAGGATTTTAGAACCTTTCCAATTCACCCAAAAACGATCGGTTTCCACTGCTGTCTATGTCTGTACACATCAATACTGATATATGCATGCAACCCTATCCCTCAAGAGAATTCTAGAATCTATACATCCTATTACAACTGTCATCCAAACTGCTATTCACTTCTGAAAGACAGCTTCTATATAGATTTTTCGTCATCGAGCGTAGCAGAATCAAAAACCATCCACAACAAATGAACATCTACAGGAACTGAAACAATGAACTTATTGTAAATGCAAAATCTTGAAAATAATCTACCATTACAAGAACCATACTACTCAGTGAAATAATGTTTGTTTTATCTCATCAGCCAATGTTAATCACAACAGAAACACAACAGCCTATTTCCATGTACAAAACTCAATCGAAACATGTATTGGTATTCTATTTGTTCAAATTTCATATTTGAATGTTTAGAATATCTACTACAGTTGATCGATTAATATTTGAAATTAATATTGGTGGTCTTTTTGAGACTATACAATTTAGTTTTGAATTTATTTTATCAATTTTGTAGATTAAGCCATTTGAAAACGAACTTTGATAGGTTCGAAATCGATCATGGTAATTCAATCTCACCCTCATCTCTGATTAGCTGGTCAATAAGAGAAATAAGAAACAAATTGACAGTCGACTAAAATATCTACAAAAGCAGTGAAAATTTCTGTAACGTAAATCTCGTCCATTTTGAAAAAAGAAAACATTTAGTAACGAAGATTTTTATCATACCTTATAGAGCTTCTCACGCTGCATCTTCTAATATATTTTGATTTTAAAAAAGGGCCGATATAAACTGCAATACTTCTATTGAAAGAACAACCGTTAGCTTTGAAAGTAGAATATTTCATATATATAAAATAAATTTTGTCTAATTTTCTTTTTTCAATGTCTAGAAAAATATCTTTTATAAACATTTTCTAAAGAATTTCACGAAAGAATCCTTCGATAAAAAAATTTTTTGTTCTAACTTGAATTATAGGTGGCAAAAATGTAAAATACTAGGATGGTCACTCTTTGCGGTATATCCGTTAGTTTCAGATTCAAATAATATAGTTTCACTTCTGTATTTCGACAAGTAAATAGATATATACTAATCATTCAAATTAATAATATATCTCTTCTTGAATGGTATTAGTACAAGAATTGACTTAATCTCCGTTGATCCGTATGGATTGAATAAAGTTTTAAAAGATAATTTTTCATCAATTTCTATGAAATTTAATTTGATTTTCTTTTTATGTCAGTTGACAAATATTGATTGCGAAGAGAAAATATTCTCATGACGTCAACTTAATCTTGTTATTAACAAATTCATAAAAAAAGAAAAACTAATAATAATATTTGATTTTATATTCATCATAAAAGAAAATTAATTCCAAAGAGCTTTCTAAGAGTTATTAAATATCATTGATAAATACATTAAGATTATTCATATGTTTTATTAATAAAAATTAGAAAAAAAAAACGTTTGGTTTTTTATTTTAAATTTCTCACCAAAGTATTCAGATTGAATAAAATAAATCATGAAAGTTCACATAGATAAAAATAAATCAATTGTTCATTCTGTATTCATCTAAATTATCAAATTTGATATTTAAAGTAAAATAAAACATCAATCAGATTTTCTAATCAATAATGAAGAATTTCATGAATTCAAAAATAATCAAATCGATTCATTTTTGTGTCACAATTATCAATAATAAATATTTTTTTCTTTTTATTATGTATTTTATATAAAACAATCATATTATTCGATTATCATAATTACAAACTATAATTTATTTATTAAAAACAAAATGAAAATTTCTTTTTTATTATTTTTCTAATAGACATTTATTCGTTGAAAATAAACATAAAGCAAATGTTATATAATAGAAATGTTTTCTGTTTCGAATTGAACATTTATTTAAACGAATCTTATAATAAATTTCTTGTATGTAATCTATAAATCAATCATTATTTGTTAATTTATGTTTAACACAGTTTCAAAGAAATATTTCTGTAGTCTCACTAATCTTCTTCGACAATACTTTCTTATTAAGATTATTTTTAACAAAAATAAAAATAAAACGTGATCAAAGAGAATATTTATTTATATCAATCATTTGATATTAAATATGTCCGTGTTCGAATATCATACGCAATTTTCATGACTTAGCTGTAAATCATATATTTGTGTTTAAATTAAACTTCTTAATCCAATAAACCCATATTTCATTAATTTCCAACAACGTAGAAATATTATCGTCTGTCTATTCAGAAGAATTGAAATATATGTTGATGAATATCCATTCTAATATGGTTTTTATTTTAAATGTGTTCATTCTTATTAATGGAATATCAGGTGATTATTTCTTATTTGAAAATATTCATAAATCAATTCAAATTTATGAGTAAACTAAGGTTAAAAGAGAAAATCAAATAATTTCACATCTCTTTAATATTAAACACAAATTTTTATTTTCTTCTTTTGATTGTAGTTCTTTCGTTTAACCGACCGAAACTCTGTCCAACAGTTAAATGGAATCCTGCTGGATTTCGGCTTCCTGCTCTACTACCGAAGGATTACATATTTTCCATTCTGTTTATTGATAAAAACAATACAATTTACACTGGTGCTGAGGAAGATGGTAAAATTCTAGTTTGGCCCAAGGATTCTACACATCCGATGTCGTCGATTAATTACCAATCCGAGTTAAAATCAGCCTCTCTATTTGTGAGCAACAATGGTGATATTTATCTCAGTACTATGCATAAGATAATTCTTAGATGGACAGCAAGCCAGAATGTCTTCGTCCATTTTATGAATACTAAAGAGGGATGTATTAGCCTTTTTATCGATCTTCATAACAATATATATTGCTCAATGATGTTGGCGCATCAAGTTGTGAAAAAATCACGAAGTGAGAATGACACAGTAGAGACGACAATTGTCGCTGGCACAGGAGGTGTAGGTCGGGGAGAGACGCAGCTCACCTCTCCCCGCGGAATCTTTGTGGATACAAATTTAGATTTGTATGTAGCAGATTGGTACAACCATCGAATTCAATTGTTTCAATTCAATGAAGTAAAAGGAAAGACAGTAGCAGGAGAATTTTCATACGAAATTACAATTTTACTGCGTTTACCCACTTCAGTTGCACTCGATTGTGAGAAATATCTTTTTATTGCGGAGGCAGGGTTTGATCGTATAATTGGATCAGGACCAAATGGTTTTCGATGTTTACTTGGATGCAATCGCGAAGAAAAAAAAGTCAGTCAATTGAAATGGCCGCTATCATTTCACTTTGATATGAATGGAAACTTATTTGTTAACGATGCAATAAATACACGAATTCAAAAATTTCATTTAAACAAAGACTCTTGTGGTAAGTGTAAAACAATTTGATAAATATTTCAGTGAAGAAAAAAATAGACTCTATTACCATAATTAAAAATTTAAATTTGCTTGAAAAAGAAAGTGAGATTATCGAAAACTAAGAGAAAAGCGTTTTAATACAAAAAATTGATCTTTGAAATTATAATCAAAAAGAAAAATGAATAGAAAGAAATGCTAACTCTTCACTGTAGACATTGGAATAAATAACAATATTAAAAATCCTATCATATAACCATAGACGTTTTGCTTTTTGTATCTTTATTTTGTGAAGAGTTTGCATTATTAGTTATTGTTCTATTAAATTATCGTATTCCGCAAGAACAATTTTCCAAATTGTTGATATTTATTATGTGATGATTAGAAGAGTAAATGTTATATGATAATAAAGACGAATTATTACACAAATTTTTGTTTATTTAGGAAATGTTCCATCTACAATTCAAGCAATATATTCATCTACCTTAACACACGATCATGAAAGGTTTTCACGTGAATTATATAATTCTTCTGAAGCTTATTACTATGAAGTCATAGAAGTAAATGTGAGTAAAAGTGACTTTTATATTCTGACTGGTGACAGTAGTATTGGGCTGTATGGTTTTATATATAAAGATCATTTTCATCGATTTGATCCTTTAAAAGATTTAATTGCATGGTGTGGTAAACCTGACTATAAAGATCAATTTAAATTTACTCTTGAACTTCAAATGAACACTAAATATATATTAGTAGTAACAACATATTATCGAAATGTCACAGGTCCATTCTCAATCATCATATTTGGTTCAAATATAGTTCATCTTCAACGCATGAGTGAGTAATATATACTATTTATGAAAGTTGATTTTCTAATTGAAAAAAGAATCACACTTATTGATAGTGTTACTTGGCAGAATAATTCATATTTTATTAGTATATTTTTGTGAGAAAAACATGCGAAATAAAGAGTATTTTACAGAAGATCTAATTATGAAAATAGTCTTACATACAAATGTTCTTAAAATAATTATCCTTTGGAAAATTGAATAGAAGTGTGTCTACAAAAAGTCGTAACAGGTAAGATAAAATTGTTTTCAGAATTAGAATCTTTGTATATATTTATATATTGACATAAAACAAAACTTATGATAATTAGATAGAAATGAAACGAAAGGATTATTTCTATTTCTTTAGTTTTAATTTATTTTTGTGTTGAATAGATATTGAACCAGTTATCCAATCAACATACAGATCTGCATTGACACAAAATCATCGAACATATTTTCGTGACCCTTGTCAGCGATTGAACAAAGTAAATTATGAAGCAATACAGGTGAACGTGACTGAAAATGGTTTCTACACCTTTTTATCCCGTGGAGATGGAGTCAAAGGTCTACCAACTATAACCAGTTATATATATGAACATGATTTTTATCCTAGTATTCCATTTGGAAATTTAATTTCAGAAGAAGATAAATCTTGCTCACGTAATGGTGATATAATTACTGTTCGACTTATGCCTAATATCCAGTATGTATTGGTTGTAACAACATGTAATAGCAATGTCACAACAGATTTCATAGTACAGGTATCTGGTAGAAGTGCTGTTAGTTTAGAACGTGTTGGTAAGTATAATTTATATAATATTCTGAATCAATAGTATAAAGATACAAGATTATCACTTTTACAACCTGTAATTGGCTATTCTTTTGAATAGATCCTTCACCTGATATTCATCGGAATTACTCTTCAAACTTAACAATAAACAGTCAAACATATGCTAAAGATTGCACCAACTCGCAATATTATTATGAAACTATTCGAATGACGGTATCTAAAAACGGATATTATACTTTATTAACTGGCGGATATTATACTTTATCACCTGGCGAATATAACGCAACTGTGACCTTTATGTATGAAAATCAATTCGATCCGCTGAATCCACGTAAAAAAAAATTGACTTCAATCATGTATCATGAATGTATTGGTAAAATTCGCGATGAATTCACAGCTAAGCTTCAAGCTAATACAACGTACATATTAGTTATAACAACTCTTAAACCACGGACGTCAATTGCATTTTCGATCGTGATATATGGTTCAGCGAATTTCACTTTTGAACGCTTTAGTAAGTATGGATAAAACTTTATCAATTTGTAGGAACTAAAAGAAACAAAATAAGACTTTACTTTCTTTATATGTTAAGATAATATATAATCTCTTTAGTTGATGATTCAACTGATTGTTATATTGGTGATCCATGTAATCCTCAAGTTAACAGTATTGGTTTAACTCTTGATGATATTTTACGTGCTGCAGTGAAACAAAATATAACAATACATAATCAACCATTCGGAATTAAGATGAGTGCTGCTGTAACGATCATTATGTTTATTGCAGGCATCATCAGTTGTCTTTGTTCAATTATAACTTTTCAAAATGAAACTTTACGAAAGGTTGGATGTGGATTATATCTTTTAGCATCATCTATAACTTCATTTTTGACAATTACAATGTTTACAATTAAATTTTGGTTTGTTCTTGTTACACAAATGAATACGAATATTCATCTATCAATTCACCAAGGTGGCTGTAAATCAATCGAAACTCTTTTAAAATTTTTCTTCTATTGGGATGCTTGGCTAAATGCATGTGTTGCTGTTGAACGTGGAATTAACGTCTATCAAGGAATAAATTTTAATAAAGAAAAAAGTAAACGTTTTGCACGATGGATATTATTGATCTTACCGTTTGTCATCATTGTCTCAATCATTCATGAACCTTTATATCATCAAGTTCTTGATTATGACAAAAAGGAAAAATCACTGTACGTCGCATATATTGACACTCCAGAAGATTTCGTAACAAGCAGAGATATTTGGTGTCAAGCATCATATTCTCAATCAGTTCGAGATTATAACACATTCATTCTCTTTATTCATCTTCTTGGTCCATTTATTGCTAACCTTAGTTCTGCATTATTTATTATTACTGGAAGTGCTCGACGACGAGCGGAGGCTCAAAAACGGCAAACATTTAAAGAATATATTCGTGAACAATGGAAAGAGCATAAACAACTTGTTATTAGTCCTACTATTTTATTTGTTCTAACAACACCACGTTTAATTATTTCGTTATTACTAACATGTTTAAAAATATCTGATTATATATGGTTATGTCTTTCTGCTTATTTTATTTCATTTTTACCATCAATACTTATCTTTATTATATTTGTTATTCCATCAACTTTGTATCGAAATACTTTCAAGGAATCAATCGCACGAGCACGAATCTGTGGAAAACAACGATCATCTACCACTTTGGAAGGATAATTCTTTGTTCTTTTAGTTGAGGATGAAGGTTTTAAACACCATCGTGTACAGATTCTTAAATAGTATGTTATAATGATAATTCTGTTCCAATAAAAAACAAATCCTTTTAAAGCTTCTACTGATTACGTTTATTTTATTTTATTTTAACGTGTTTTGTTAAATAAATCAAAACAGGCACTAGACTGAATTGTAGCAATACTTTAAGATTCATAAAAGCAATATAAAAAAGCTTAGTGAAAGTATAAAGTTGCTGAAGGAAATAACTTATCTTCAGTATTTAGATAAACTATATTGTTAAGTAAATCATCATCATCGAATAGAAAAGAATATCTGCTATCACACTCAACTGATACCAGTTGATCTCTATATTCTGTTTCAGTTGGAGATTTTAATAATGATAATAACTTTACAATTTTTGATGATCATGTTAATGGAATATTTGATGAAACTTTTCAAGTTTTATTTCTATGCGAAATAAACATATAAATATACCTTGGTGTTAATATAAAATGTATTCTAACTTACGGTGTCTGGAAACTTCGTTTGAACTTCCGGCCGGAACCGACTGAGCCGCTATGACCGGGGGAATGCACGACAGAAAAAAAAGGAAAACATGATGACTTATACCTAATTCGATCTACTCTACAATCTGAGATAAAATTGGTGCTCTGAGAACTTGATTTGCCAGAAAACCACTCTATAAAAACCTCTATGGACATCTCTCATACTCATATTCGGAATCACCGTAGCAAATAACCTTAGGTTCACTGTACTTAATTATGAAAATATCGATGAATTAGTAGGAACGAATCCCATGTGAGTTCATTTCAAAGATCTGTAAAAAAAAGTTCTTATAATGAAGACAAGTTATGTATTTAACATATATCAAACAAAATAAATACAATTTTTATTATACAAGCTTTTTTTCATAGCATCTTCGTCGTGTTATATTTAGCAAAAGCATGCATATGTCATCATGAGAATGATAATAAAATATGCATTGCAGTAGATAAGATTGACTAACAAAACGAAATGACAAACATTTCATTTGGTTACAATTCCTAAACAAATAAATGATTCTTTTAAAATTCCTTTTCTCTATTGTTTATTTGATTTCGATAATAAATTTGATTGATTCACAAACAATATGTTTGGATAATTCAATCATCACTTGTTCTTGTAATGATGGTGAAGGCGTAGTAACTTGTATTGAAAATCATCCAAGCAATAATACTTTCATAGATTGGTCAACATTTTCATCCGATGAGCGTCAACGTTACTCATTCAATTTTATCAATTTTACACGGTTAACATCACAAACATTTACACATTTTTCGTTAACATTTCCTTTAATTCCAAAGATTGACTTCAATTTTACAAATGGAATCGATGTAATAGAAGAAAATATTTTTAAATCGTTCAATTATTTTTTGGATCTACCAATTCATATTCGATTTCAGTCACCAAGAAATTTTCAACTAGCTGATTGTGCATTTAGTCAACTAAAATATTTAGAATTTCTTATTGATAATATACAATATAATGATATACATCATTTACCATATGAATTTAATTTAAACGCCTTTAATCAAACAAGTATTTTCGATATTAAAATTTTAAATTCAAAAGAAATGAATTTTATTTCCAATAAATCTTTATCATTTAAATGGGAGAAAGTTCAAATTGTGAATTGCTCATTAATAAGTGTTGATCTTCTTATTGAAAATCTTTCAACATTTGTATTAGATTTAGATTTTTCAACAAATAAATTAATTCAAATTCCTTCATTGATTAAATTTAGTTCCATAACCGATATTGATTTACATGAAAATTTCATTGAACAAATTCATTCAAACATATTTACAAATTTAAGTCAAGTTTATAGAATTGATTTATCACATAATCGAATCAAACATATTTCACCTGGTGCATTTATTGGAATGCATGTAGAAATTTTACTCTTAAATGATAATCTTTTACATTCACTTGAAACTGTTACGATTCATAATGAAGTAACATCTTTCTTATATTCATTAAATGAAACATTACATACTCTTATTCTATCAAATAATATTCTATCTGATTTTAAACCAATACGAAATCTTACATCACTAAATACATTAAGAATGTGTTGTAATCAAATAAAACATATTGATGAAGAATCATTTCAAAATACACATGAACTTATAACAATTGATTTAAGTCATAATCATATTGAATCAATTCATCCACATGCTTTTAAAGGAACAATTTTGAGATATCTTGACTTAACATCAAATCCCTTGTCGACATTAGAAACAACCGACATTGTCTATGATGAACAATTTCGACCGAGAAATCGAACAACTTCATTTCTTGATGATGTTACATCGACAATTGCTACGCTATCATTAATGAATTGTAGGAATTTATTAGAAATGAATTGGTTTGTTTTTGCAAAATTAAAATTATTATGGCTTTTGAATCTCTCGGCAATACCGAAAACAGACAAATTTTGGACTTTTCAAATAAGAAACAATAATGCTTCAATAGTAAAGTATGATCGTACATCAAAACTTGAAATAGTTCTCAATGATATTCGTTTTAACGATGATGATTATTGTTTATCAAAAACAATCTTAGATAATTTCAATTCGACAGTTTTAATTATTGATCAAAATCATTCATGTAATTGTTTTGTGTTTATGTTTAAAAACTTATTTGAACCAGCTCATTATCCAAGCTGTTTATCTAATCAATCAATCGTGGAAGAATTAACTCAACAATGCATGAATATTGATTTATACTGTTTATCTTTCGTAAATACAACAACAACAACAACAACTATTCCACCGACTGAATCGACATCGTTATTATCAAGTACACCTATTTTAACGACAGAATTATCATCAACTTCATCTATTCGACCCACCAGTCAATCGATATTGTCATCATCATTATCAAGTACAAGTTCATCAATTATGACTAGTACCTTAACATCGACAATGAGTAGCACTGTTACCTCAACAACAAGAATGAGAGAATCATCAATATCAAGTTTAACAACATTAACTATAACAAAGAACATTTTGACCACACTAGGAGCAACAAAAGATAATGGAAAATGGAAAACAATATTAGCAATAATGATTCCTTGTGTACTTATTGTTATTGTTTTATCCTTAACTGGGATTTATATTGTGAATAGAAAGAAAAACAAACCGAAGGAAAGTATTGAGATGGATGTAGGATTTGCCAATAATTTTGCTAGAAAATAATATTTTAAATAATTAATCATATCTATTGATTGATTCTATTTTCAAATAAATTTTTTCGCAAAATATCCAACTGTACAGTGAAATTCTGCTTACATTCATAACAAAAGTTATATTATATATTCAGGTAGCATTGGCATGAAATTTTCTGCTCAATGTCTGGATCGAGAGAGAAAATTAATGTATTCTTTTCAAATTTAGAGTATTATTCTGTCTTAATGAATCAGCCCATTAACTACTCGAAGACGGAAGGACTTTGTTTTGTTCGAATAGTAAACGTCGTGTCTCACTTTTCTACATGTAAAACACTGAGTATCTATATAATATTAATAGTTCCTACGAAAATATACGTGGAAAATAACCTTAACTGCCGCGGCATCGACCGGATGGACCTGACTTAAATAAAAGAAACGAAATACAGAGTTTGTTCAGTACATGGCAAAAGTCGCCGTTACTAATGAAAGTTGTCAGTGATTGGCATTTCCAAGGTTGACGCAGTGCAAAATTCGAGCACAATTTGTTTGCTGATTTTTTAACGTAATCCTATGCGCTGAATTCGAATGTGTAACTAATTTAGAGAAAAAGTCGTTTTCATGTCAAAAACTCATATATGTGAATTCTAATAAATGTGAAGGAGATTCTTTCGAGTTTGCTGTGTGCCAATAGTGCGGAGGAGAAGAAATGAAGTTTGTGTTGTCCGTCCTTGGACCCTACAAATAAGTAAGAAAGTATTGTGATGTTGAACTACGAAATTGAATTTTGCACAAAAATGCCGACGAATTTCTAAGTTATTAGAAATGTGGAGGACGAGTTGAAAATGCGTGAAATATCCATGAAAGAGATTTTCAAAAGATGTTATCGCAATTCATTTATTCGAAAGTCGTCCCTATTGATCTGCTCGTATTGACGAACAGTAATCCGATGGACACAACAAGTGCTTTCTTAGTGTTGTTCACTGCGTAAGATTGTGCGAGTTCTTCTGGTTCGGACATCTTGTTCAGTTAATGAAACAACACGTACACGTCATCGTATATAGTTAATCCCAAACTTAACAAATATATGGAAAGACTCATTTCAAAATGTTTTTTGATGTTATTAAAAATGACAGAATGCACAATAAATATCAGAAGAAGTGCGAGAGAAGCAACACAGTCAATGAAATTTCTTGCTGTGACACTATATAGTACATTTTATTTGGCATTGGCTTTATTTATGTAATTTGCAGTCGTGTTGTCCAAGGTTTGAAGAAGAGTATGTTCATGTATGTCCTTATTGTAGACTGAAAGATATAAAACCTAAACTTAGTCATACTGTGTTCAGTCAACAGTTGACGATCTTCATTTGCAAGGGGTAGATGCGTGAGTGCACTTTTAGCTTGATAGTCATATTATCAGCACCGCCCGACACTGTGAACGACTGAATAAAGGAAGGAACGCAAGTGGATATTCAAATTGAAAAGCATCGTAGGATCTGCATTTACTCCCTGATAAAGGTCAACAGTTTAGTCATTCGGACACCCTGGTATGGTATTGCACAGGACTATTTCGTAGACAATAGCTAGTTTCAATCAACTTAAGAATGGAAAAGGTTCTCAAGAACAGCGATCGAAACTCATGCTCATATTGTGAATTGAAATCTAAATCCAATGTCGTAACGATCCAGTCTCCCACTACCATCAACGGGTATAATCAATTGTCTTTGAGCAACATGATTATAAAATTGAACTGGAGAATTAATTACTGGTATTATTCAGATAAAATATCATCAAAGACACGAACAATGAGGTTCGTATATAATCGCGAGATCTGCATATGATTAGATGAGAGAAAAATGATTCTCACCAATCTAATAGATATGGATGATGAAAAAGCAAGTTTATGTATTCTAATGATTTAACTTAGGAGACTTTATTGATGTTTTTTGACAGAAAATATTCACAGAGTAATCTTTCATATAAATCGTTTCGGATTTTCTACTTTTTATTCTCACTTTCAACTTCAGAATATTATCAAACAAACTGTTTTTACCAGATGCGTTGATTTTCCATACATTTCGTGCATTTCTCCAGAAATCTTCAATTACTGCGTAAAAAGATAACTAATGAACGGAATAATCGAAATTATTCATCACGACCTTGAACTTGCTTATGCTCTATGTCTTATTTATTGACATAAGTGAGAGTTTTGACAAAAAAAAATATGCACAATATCGAGTTCTCGAGATTGGAACTATGACGTTGACAATGTTCTCTTTTGAATTTGTATTGAAAAGACGTTTTAGCATTTCTCATGATTTAATCCACAGTTGTGTAACTCAACGTGATTCTGTTTGATTAAAATTTGCTTTTAAGTCTTCTTTGCGTTATTAAATAAAAAATTTGTATGGGAATAATTAAATATGCATTTGCATATAGTTCGTACTAAAAGGATGATGAGTACGATGAAAAGTGCGGAAAACAAAAGGTGAAATATAATAAGAAAATAGTTCAGAAAGACATTCAGATTTATTAATATTAATTGGAAAGTGAATAGATGCCAACTGTGATCCGAATAAATAACGGTGCCGTCCAAAATCCATTGGAAAGCAATGGAAAAAGTATCAATGCTATTTATCAAAAAACAAAATATCATTCACGAATTGTAAAAAGAACTTGGCCATCAACAACTAAGGTATGAGACGATTGATTTCATATGGTAAAAATCTATTTTTGAAGATGAGCATGTGTGTGAAGAAAAGATATTTACACTCATATCGGAGACGAGAGAGAGGGGAGCCATTCTTAGCGCTGCTACTAATTACATCTTTATCCAATTTAGAACAATGTATCGAAATATTCAAGCTGTCAAAGACCATCATTTGATCATGCTGAACAACCGCGTGTTTGCAAGGTTGGGGTTTGTCATCGAATAAATAACATAGAAGATTTTTTTTCTTGAAGAATCTTTCAACAATTAATTCAAAAACTAATGAACAACCAAGATTATCAGAAAAATTAGCAAATAACTTTTCAAAAGTATAATTCCGACTGAATACAAATAATTTTTTTAAATTCTCTACACGCTTTAGTTAAATTTACGCAGTCCAGTGCTTTCAAATATTTCTGATAAATCGTTGAATGCAACTAATATTCGTCTAATTACAAAAACCAATCTGATTAATCAACGTAGACATGGTGTTCATCGGTCAGTACCTATTTTAAATAATATTTCTCTTCTCTATCAAATGATAACATTGGATAGATGTTGTAAATATTCACCACGTTGTTGTATTCTATTCTCTGGATTATTTCTTGTTACAACCGTTGCTTTGGGCATCGCTGCCACATCACTCGCCACTCACTTCGGTAAAACATTACCTCTTAATTTTTTTTCTAATGGCCTATTTCGAAAATCTACAGTATCGATAACCACAACAACAACCAGCACTACGACCAGCGACACGAGTAAATTTGTTTTCATTTATATTATCAATTATCATAAATACATTTAGCTACTACATCGACAACTGCAACAACAACAACTAGCACTAGTACTTCAACTACATCCGCTACGACATCAAGTAAATAAATAAGGGAATATACTAACTGCTCAATAGAATAACTGAAATAGTCAGTAAAAATAGTACAAATGAAAAGTGTGATGACTGAATGGTCAGTATACCAACAATCGTCTTTTAGCTCTGCGTAAAATAGAAGTTCACTCCCGAAATCAATACTAGCTAAATCCCATCGACTCGATTCATAAAAAAATCTACAGGAACTTATAGAAACTGAAATCTACTATAGAGAACAGTTATTAGAGCCGCTGATGGTTTTCAAATGGAGTCGATAGATATGACTTCGTAGCGTCTTATAAATGGCTTATTCTTTAAAACTTTATGATCTTCTTATGAATTGAATCGATAGGATTTAGTTAATATTGATTTCGGGAGTGAACTTCTATTTTATGCAGAGATAGAAGACGGTTGTTGATATACTGACCATTCAATCATCATACTGTCCATTTGTACTATTTTTACTGACCATTCCAGTTATTTTGCTGAACACTGAAATTCCACCCAATAAATAATTTTAAAATATCATATAATTTGTCGAATATGTTTTGAACATCGTCTATTAATCATGTGATTCTCTGCCTCAAAATCGATTGTTAATTTAAGCTTCAAGTACTTCAAGCTCAACTAGTACGACTTCTCAGACAACAAGTTCTACAAGTTCCACGAGTTCTACTAGTACGACGACTGTGACAACAAGTTCTACTAGTACAACTTCAACGACAACAAGTTCTACAAGTACGACTTCAACGACAACAAGTTCTACGAGTTCCACAAGCTCTACTAGTACGACTTCAACAGCAACAACAAGTACAACTGCAACAACAGCCACAACCACAACAGTAACTACAACTTCAACGACTGTTACAAGTAAATTTAGGAAAAAAGCCATTTCTGCTTTGTCATTCAAATCTATTTTAGTACCTATACCATGTCCAGCAACAGCATCTTTTCCCGGTCCAGCTATATTGAAGACACTGATAGGCGCAGTATCGAATTATAGTTGTTATAGTTATAACTGGACAGCTACAGCTACTATGCATACAATCAACTTTAGATTTCGATATGATACTGACAATTGGTATCTAGATGATGTATCCATCTATGATAGCTTAGCTAATCAACTAATTCAAAATGGTGGATTTGAGGGTGGAACTTCTGGCACAGCAAACGGTAATCCAATGGCTGTTAATTGGAATTGGTCTGGATCATCGTGTGGCTGTTGTAGTGGTGTTGACAATTCCGATCCTAAAAGTGGTACCCATGACTGGCAAGATGGTTGTTCTGGAGGAACTGATACTTTGTCACAATCATTTTCAACAACTGTTGGGGATATGTATTTTGTTAGCTGGTGGTTGGATGCCGGCTCATCCGGGGCAGCTAAATTTAATGTTACTATAACTTAAAAACGCCATTTTCATAACTATTTCCTACGAATAACAAACTTTTGGTTTTGATTCGTTCACTCTACTATGTAACAGAGAAAAATTAATCGTATTGACATAGTTAACAGAAATCGTTTCAATAAAGATTATTCTATATGAGATAACTGAAAAGGAGGCAAAGTAAGACTTTATTTACTTCAAAAAGTACTTAAAGTATAATCAACGGATTCGTTCTTTTCTGCCAGCTATGTACATAAAATTAGAATTATGAACAAAATTCTTCGGAAAAGATGAGAAAAGAAAGTTATGATGTAAACGATAAGGCAATGCAATGCAATCGCACGTCGCAAATATTTGCATAAATAATGAAAATTTTGTTTTTTTTTATTTGCCTTATGAAACGAATCAGACAGCTGTGTTGTTCAAACAACTAACGAAATCACGCGTGTGATACAAGCCATCAAATGATCTGATCATTTTATTCCCCATGATCGAAGCATTAATAGATGAATACGAATGAATGAATATGATCTTCTTTAGTTTTTTCCAGGAAAATGAATCTGAAGACAGGATCATATGATTAACAAAGTTTGTAGCCTGATGTTTTGAAGATACTTGTCTTTTGTTCGAACGAAAGAATCTCGTTTTTTTCGTGACACGGTTGTTTCGTAGCAGAAGCAACATGTTGTTTTCCCGACTTTCGTTGTATATCCATCCGAAAAGACGTTAATACGAGACGTGATTGACTCAGATTTCAATTATAGAAGCATGCATTGGTAAACCAAAGAACTTCAGAATTTATGTCTTCAACATCCAGCTTGTCTTCTCTTAACTATCTATTCTCTGAAATTGTTGCTTTCAATTAGTAAGATGAAAAGACAAAATATCTGTTGAATTATCGAAATCGATGATTTATTTGTGTTTTCCTTATTTGTTCATTCGGAAAAAAACAATTCAGTGAAGTTCATTAAGTCGTGAACGATTTATATGAGCTAATTGCAAGTTTTTTGTAACGTTGTACTTTTTCTTGTAAACATGAAACATGTCCAGTATAAACTGAACAGATTTTTGTGATTTTTTTCACGATATGTTCCACTTACTATACACCGACACTTCACAAAAAATCACTAAGTTATAATAAACTCATTCTGAGATCTTGGTCTGGCAAGGTTAAATATGCTGCTTTTTAACGCCATCTGTTAGGTAAAGAGCCGTATGGCTAGTTGACTATTAGTCATTTGAAGTTTGACAGTTGGTGATATTTCTTAAGTGATGTGTATATAGTTTGAATATAATAATCACTCGTCTGATTGATGACTCTTTATCGTGGATTCTTTTAAGTCTTGCGAATACAGACACTTCTCAATTTTTGTGTCACGCGATATTAAATTGCATTTTGCAGAGCAATGCTTCAATCGAAACAGACCGGGGTGGTGTCAAATGAGAGTCCACTAGCCCTGTATTGAAATGGTAGGGACAGTGAGAGAACTATCCTATTATTTATTCAGGATAAATAGGTGGTCCATTTTGAAAATCTCATCGTCAGACAAAATGTCACGCGAGATTTTGTAATTTACTTAGCGTAGAAAAACCTTTATACTCCATCGAGTCCTGATGAAACTTTGACTACTTTAGCGACTTGCTGTGGTCAACTTCTGGTGAAAATCTCAAAGTTGAGAGTCTCATATATTGTTAAAAAAGGACGAAATACTACAAAAATGTCACACGAGATTTTTATGAGAAGTATGTCACGCGAGATTGTCTTGCATGTAAACATCTCATACATATGATTAAAATGAATAGTTTCAACGTTAAACATTGTCTTATGAAAGGATCTTGTGATACTCATATGAAATGACTGGAGTTTGGATTCGAGAGATGCGAAGAATAATGAGAAATTGTTATGGTGCAAAATGGATGCTTTTATACTCTCTGTATTTTCAACTTATGAGAGTACCTGCGCAAAAATCAAATGTAATGCGGTGCGAACTATATTGAAAAACCCATTTCTTTCTAGATAATTAATGGTTGCTTCTATGAAATCCAGTAGGCAACGTTCCAACGAGAAATATCGACGAAAAACTCAACTGAAACGGCTACAGTCAAAAGTATTTAACGCAAAATTCTCGCCAGCGAAAGTGTCGACAACGAAAAAAAGAAGCACAAAGAGAAACAGCAAGTGCAACCATGCTACCATCAGCTCAAACAGATTTACGAACAGTCGAAGGTGCCAAACGTCGTCGGGCTAATACCAAGAAATTGAGGGATGAAAACGAGAAACTGTTAAAGGAGGTGAAAAAATTGAAAAATGAAAATGCGGAAATGAAAAAAATACTATCAGAACAGCATCTAGGAATTACAAACACTGTTGATACTACACCAGCTCTATCACCAACGAAATTGTTTATTGGTACTGTTAGTCCGGCAGCGAAGAGGCGTGCGAAGCGGCGATTGCTTGATGAAAAAGAAAATCTACCGCGTGGTTCAGTTTCGAAATTGAAAAATCTAGGTATAAACTTATCTAACAATTACATTTCATCATCTAGCACACCATCAACCTTACAGAAGGAGATAGAAGAGTTTTTATGTCAAGACAACATCAGCAAACAGGCACCAGACAAAAAAAAACAGCTTCATGGAAAACAAATACGATACCTGTTAAACCATTTATCAACTCTTCATCAACAATTCGTAATCGAAACTGGAATTACATGCCATCATTCCACATTCACGCGTTATGTTCCTGAGTATATGATGAAGCCGATGGCAAGTGATTGGGGCACATGTTTATGCGTTATTTGTCTTAATCCACAGATGAAATTTGAAAAACTAGTAAATTTGAAGTNAATGAAGATCAGTCTCTGGGGACCCTTTCAAAGGTTATACTTCTGTCTTTTTTTTTGCATAAAACGCACATAAGACTATTTTATTTTCAGTCAGTGGTTCAGTCGAGGGCATAGCGAGTCTGCCTCGACGAGCGTTACTAGTGTTTTGTATTGTGATAAACATTTCAAGATTCGACGACATATAGAATTCAATTGCAGGATTGGGATAGATAAAAAACGAAAATTAGTATTCATATATTTAGAAGAAGCAATTGATCTGAATGTGAATTGATGTTCATATGTCACATATTAATTCTTCAAAGAAATGCCCTATAAATTACTGAATCTCTGTTCAGATCATTGTTTATAAATATGATAAATCTTTACAAATTTTTATCAGTTAAGATACATTTGTTCGTCTTGTTTATATTTTTTCATCATGACTGTAACATTGATTTTTTGTCAGTCACCAGTGAATTGAATACCTTTGTGTATTTCGCGAAATTACTGTATATGATATTACATACGATGATTTTCCAGTAATGAGTTCATTTTTGTCGGTTAGTCAATGAAATGATTACAAATCAGTATGTAAAGATAAATTTTATACCCAAAAAAAATTTTTCGATTCAGAAGTAAAATCATTCATATCTCAATTTATCTCGTTAACTGCACATCATTTGCTTTTGTAACTATAAACCATCGGAGATACAACTCAGAGTAAAGCTCTAGTACCTAACTGTATGAAATTGTACAATTATAAGAGAAAATCTTGCATCACAATGATCTTTTCGGTGCCAGTTGGATGTATAAGCACTTCGATTTCAACCAATGTAAGAGCACTTAACCCATTCAGGATAAATGGTCACTGGTCATTTGTGAACAGTGAAAACCTTCAACATTAATGGTCAAACATAGATGCGTATGTGTTATAATAAGTTTATCGTAATGATCATGACATATATCGATGCTAAATGCTAACACACTTTACCATGAGAAGAGAGACGTAATACATTGCTATTCTCATATTAAGTATGCAGATTTATGTGTTACAAACTGCTTTCAAGAATATTATATATTGATATCACATTAATAAACTTGAAGGAAAAAAAGAATGAAAAGAATATTTTCTGCCATTAAAAATAATCTCGTCTTGAGTAGGTTGATAACATTCGATTTGTATTGATATAGCACTGTGGATTGTATTTTTACACCTAAAATGTCATTCATTGTCTGGATGCTGATTTATTTTAAGCCAAGTTTGAGTACTAAGGTGAGGGTTTCGTTGTGCTATTCTTATTTTCATCTAAAATGTACTTGAGCTAAAATCACATAATAATTTTTTATTGCTTTGCAAGAATATGCAACATTAACATCAGCATTCAATGTTGTACGGCAAATTTAAACATTTTGAGTAATTCTTCTGATCAATAATAAATAGAAATTTCAATTATAGTTTCGTCTTAAGTAACATCTAATCTTGTTTTAACTGGAAAAAACCTTCGAGATTAACAATTTGTCTATAAATATTTTGTCCGTTCGATATTTTTCACAGTAAAAACATGACGATTTTATCGTTATCAGGTTTGATTTACTTTCTTGTAATCGATTCAGTTTTGTTTTATTTTTAGTTCTCTTTTTATTTCTTTCAATTGATTTTGGTAAAACATTTTTCATTTGAAATTATTTGAAATATTTTATTCTTTTTGAAACTTAGCAAAAAGTTTGTATAGCAAATCTTTGGATTGGAATAAATACGATGATCGCGAATATTCCGATAATTTTGCAAGATCAGATTTTGGTTCCATAACAGGATGGAAAAATGATCGTGCAAAAATTTCCAATAAAAGTTTAAGAATAACATTAAAAAAACAATCGTTATCAGATAAATGTGGAATTGTATCAAATACAATGATTACATCTGGTACTGAATATCAATTGGAATTTTCAGTGAAATTTCATAGTGAATTTGATTGGAGTCGAGGTGGAAAAGTTGGCTTTGGTTTAGGTATGGGTGAACATAATACGGGATGTCGTGTACCTACGAAAGGTGAAGGTGCAACATTACGTTTAATGTGGTATCAAAATGATCAGAAAAGAGTTTATTTTATTCCATATCTTTATTATTATAAAATGCCGGGAAATTGTGGAGATAATTTTGGCAAATCTTATCCGAAAACCGGTTTGATTTTCTTTTCTCTTAGAAAGAAAAAAAGGATTTTAATTCTTTATAGGTAGTCTTGAAAGAGGTAAATGGTATCAAATACAAATGTATATGAAATCTAATGCGGGTGAAAATAAAAATGGACATGTGACAATCAAAGTCAATAATGAAATATTAATTGATCAGAAAATCTGTTGGACAAAACAAGAAAATAAAAGATTTATCGACAATTTGTCGTTTCACACGTAAGTTTCAAATTTTCTTTGAAAGTTTGTTTTTTTGAAATACTTTCATTTAGATTTCGTGGTGGAAGTAATGTGACCATTTGGGGATCAAACACTGATGGTTATATCTATTATGACAATTTATCAGTCAAACAAATCAAATAATCATGCAAAGTGAAACAATGTTTTCTCGATCTCTAGGGTGTGGGTATAGGTAAGAGTATAGAAAAAGAAAATACTCCCCCTCACCCACACCCCTCAGTATGATGTTTCTCTTTTTCGAATAATGAAATTCACGATTCAGCAGGTTACTGTTGATATTTTCCAGCAGATTAAATAACAGTTGAGCCATTGATGCTCTTTTGAGGCGCTTTGCAATCGTTCACGAGAGGCTTCGATGGATGTGATTAAAATTTCGTGTACTTCGATAACAGTTACTTGATCCATTTGTGCCAAATGTACGAATAACTCAGCGGAATATTGACGTTTTAACGATGATGATGATGATGATACCATTCGAAAGAGTTCATCAACAGTTTCACGTGTATCTATAGATCGAATTTGTTTTATTGATGCATATAGAAGTGGTGATTCGGTTGAATCTATAACTGCAGTCATCAACATGCGAACAAAGTCAATTGTAACTTCTTGAAAGTATCTGTATATCTTAAGATACAGTGCTCTCGTCGATCACTTTTCACTTTCTTGTTCATCCCATATACAGCTTTCTTGAAAGATTCCTCACGAAATTGACTTTTATGAACAATAGAAACGATAATATCTTCAGTAATTGTAGATTTTCTTAACATTTCATCTAATAATTTAAGGTAAAGATCATGTTCGACCACCATTTTATCATCAGAAGTCATACTTCGAAAAAAGTTCTCGATTAAAATCAGAACTAAGTGTTCTTTATGATTCGCAATCCATTTATATGCCGACGCGAAACTGTCATGCCAAGTTAAATAATGATCCGTATTGATATGCGCTATAAATGCAAAATAAACTTCATTATAGAGACCGGCCAGCGTCGCTTGACGAATAATTGAGCAATCTGAGTGTTTTGGTAAATCATTGAGATTACTTGATTCATCTTTCTCTGTCGAGTTTTCATATCCATAGTACAAAGAACGTAAACAAACAAGAACAATTTCGACGTTTGTATTATTGTTTTCGTACTTTCGAATGATTTGCCACAAGATATTTCTCACTTGTTTATGACTCTATCAAAAACGAAGAATTTTCATACTCGCCATCAACACAATCTTTTCGCTTTGTCCATTTCCAACAATTCTAAGAAAACAATCAATAAATTGTTGATTGTTTACGAGTAATTTGCGTGGTATGTGTTGAAGAAGATATATAAAACATCTTTCCTTTTCTACGACCACTATTCATTGAAAAAAAACTTTTCGTCCATCCTTACATATATAAATCGACGTCAGATCATATTCGACGTATGCAATATAGCAACAATAAATTGTTTGCCAAGCAAAAGTATGCATATCTACTTAGAATTATAGTTAATAATGTTAAATTACTTGATTTACCTGATGAACTAATATTGGCTATTGTGGAGAAAGGTAAATCTCAAATATCCTTTCTGTGTTCTATGATCGATATTGGTAATCGTCGTTTGGAACAATTTACCCTCAATAGACGTCGTTCAATTGATTTCGTGATTGATTATCTTGAAGGGAAAAATTCGTCGTTATTTGTGAACCGATTCTTTTCCCATATTATACTTCGTATATATGATCGAATTCAATCATTAACAATTCATGATCATCATATTAAGTCTCTTCATAAATTTGTTCAAAATAATTACAATGAAGTTCTTCCAAATTTGATACATTTGAGAGGTAGACTCTATGCTAACGTAAATGTCCTACAATTGGTGCACCATATACGGTAGGTAATTTATGTCGTTTGTATTTCTGTTTTGAATAAGTATAATTGGAACAATATTTTCTTCATATTAGTGAACTTTTTAGGAAATCACCTAATGTCTCATCTTGGATGGCGGAAACGACCGCTTTATACAATTGCTCTTCAATGGTTTCTATTTCCTTCATCTCTAGTTAGTGAGCAGATAAATGAATTATGTTACTCAACAATGATGCGTTCGATCCAATCATTTCAACTTGATAATAATTGTTGTTTGAGCAAATATTTTCGTAAAGATGAAAGACGCTTCAGAGAAGTAATCATCTTTTTATTGGAGCTCAGTTCACAACTTCATTCATTTACGGTAACTATCGGAAATTGCTTTTCATACGAACCTATTTTAACATCTGATCTGCAATTGGTAAGTGATAATCAAGTTGATGTAGTATCTTAACAGAGTTATTGATTTAGATTTCATGTCCTAATTTGAAACAAATGAAAGTAATCATTTATAAAAACTTAATAGATTATCAAGAGTGTTTTTCTCTTCTTCGATGTTTGTCAAATGTTGAAGATTTAACATTATTATTAGCTATAGGAGAAGATGGTATAAAACCCAATTATTTTATTGATTATTGATGAATTTGTTCTGGAAAAAGATTTACTTTCGTACGTGTATTGTGTACATCAATGCAAATTTCATATTCGTTCAATTTTAAAAAATGTTTCTCATGAAATAATCAATGAAACTCATCAAAGTTTTCTAATACAACAGCTATTTATTTGTTCATATGATAGTTTCAAGAATAATTATGGACAATGTCAAATCTATTCATTACCATTTATTGGTACTCGTCTCCATTGAACATCAATCTCATTGGTTTTCATCATTTAACTACACTTATTTTATATGATATTCATATGGATTATGCTGAACAATTTCTTTATCAAATTCATCTTTCGTCTCTAGTGGAACTTGCTATTAACAAACATATTTTATTAACAATAGTGCAACCAAATCATCCACAAGCAAGAGATAGGGTGAGGGTGAGGGTGAGGGTGTGGGTGTGAGGGTGTGGGTGTGTGAGGGGTGTGGGTGTGTGAGGGGTGTGGGTGTGTGAGGGGTGTGGGTGTGTGAGGGTGGGTGAGGGTGTGAGGGTATAGGCCTATAAGTCAAGCTAAATCTATTTCTATTCTTATCTAGTCGTTTACTGTAAGGCTGAGATAGACATCTGCTTATATTCGAATTGATATTAGTCTCTCGGGGGTCGACTTATAATATAAGTCGAATTAGGCAACTCATGATCTTTACCGTTACAAAATTTCTCTATGCCTCGAGAAACCAAGGATACCAGTTTGTAGCACAAGTTCTGTTCTATCATTTCCTATACATCTGTTGTTCTGGAAATTTCGAAAACTGGATTTTTATTACCGAAAATGTAGAGTGATTTGCAAGTGGTATTCATAGAGATTTACGAGCTTCTGCTCTTTCTTGAAAAGTTATCGAGTCTGAAGTATCACAGATCCAGATAGTGAAAACCAAACTGAACTAAACTAGCCTATTTAAATAACTTTACGTACAGAAATATATGGAAAATAATAGCTAAGAAAGAAAAGTTTGGAAAAGCTTGAGTGTAGAGTTTATATGAAAAAATGCGAAAAGTTGAGCTTTGGCAAGCAAGGATGCTGTGATATTTTGCGAAATCTAAATCGGCCAAAATGATAGTCTCAATGAGCTTTACAAACGCTGAAATTTTCGCGTTGTTAGAAGATACTTTTGTATAGCGCGATGGAAACTCCATGGAAACACCCAAAGAAAATGTCGCAATGGATTAATATTTGTACCCAGAAAATGTATATTTACTATCTACAAAATTGAGATAGAATTTAGAATTAATATTACAACAATTCTATTCTTTCTCGAATAGAATTGGAACTGGGATAAGTTTTTTTCATTCCGTCGATTCATTTTTTATGCCAAACTGCAACAAATTCGATTGTGAAAAATCTAAATAGAGAAAATCTTCTGTGGGTGAACTTTGTTTCGCGTTCACCCATTCCGAACAACTGTCAACAGATCCTCTGTTCGAGCAAAAAGATTATTCTTAGAGTTTATGTAACATTTCCCTCTCAAAGCGTGTAAAGCTGAAAGAATCAAATAAGCGAAAACTCAACAACGATAATCACAATAAGAAGATTCAGAAAGAATTACAAAGAAACTTTATTACTGTCATATATATTTCAACGTTCTATGCCGGATTTTCGAACTGATAAATTTTTTATTGGAAAATGAATTCAATAGAACGATTTTATTTACTTTTATCACAGACAAAATAGAAGAACAAAGACGCAAGATAGTGCAGGTCGGAACGTCTTTCAGCTATAATAGAAGACAAACAAAGAAGCACAGTTAACAAGTTTGTAAGTAAATGCTCAAACTGTCAGTTCCATTATTTATCACAGCAAAATCGATCTTTCCATTGCGATTAAAATCAGTAATAACAAGTGAAGATGGATGCGATCCATATGGCATTGAATATAGCATAACGATATCAAATATTCCATCACCATGTCCAAGAAAAACGCCAACTTTATTATTATTATAATTAGCGACAATTATATCGAGGTAGGTATCATTATTGAAATATCCTACAGAAACAGAATAAGGAGATGAAGATGAACCAGTTGAATATGTTGTTCGATTTCTAAATGAGCCACCAGCATAACCAAGGAAAACTGCAATACTATCCGAGTGAAAATTAGCGGTGACCACATCCAACCGAGTGTCGTTATTGAAATCACCAGCTGCTATGGAATATGGAGACGAATTTAGACCAGTTGAATATGTCTTTTGATTTGTAAAAGAAAAATTGCCATATCCAAGAAAAACACCAATATTATCAGTGCCTGAATTCGCAACAATCACATCAATATGATTATCATTATTAAAATCATCGATCACAAATGCTCGTGATCGAGAATTATTGCCAGTTAAAAGTTTTGTTTGCTTTCGAAAGACTAAATTTGAACAACCAAACATTGTCACTAAAGTACCTTCACCTAGGTTTATCACAATCAGATCAAGTTGTTTGTCATTATTCAAATCCGTAATAGCTGTAAATCGTGCACTTGAACCAGTTACATATTTAATCTGCGTAGCAAATGTACCATCACCATATCCTAAGAAAACACTTATAAAATTATCTCCCGAGTTGGCAACAATAATATCTTGATAGTTAACGTAAGTAAAGTTGGCACGATATTCGAGTTATTTTTGCTAATATTCATTTGAGTACCTGTGCTGGTGTTTTAAATGGTTGTGTTGGATACAGAATTAAATTCTCTATCGAATGGTGTGGT